TCCTTTTTTTTTTTTTTTTTTTTTTTTATTTGTAGTAGTGATTTATTATATATTTTTGTTATTTATTTGTTTCGACATTTGAAATTTTCTTTTTTGTATATCTAAAATTTAGAAAATATGTTTTTTTTATAAGAACTTAAAAGTATACCATTAAAAATGGAAAAATACTTTATTAAAATAAAAAATAAAAAGAGATATATTTAAATTTATAAAAAAAAGACAATTTTAAAAATTATGAATTTCAATAGTCATAACTTAAAAAGGTATAAAAAAAAATTTGAAATAACGATCAAAAAGTGAAATACACATAAAGCAAAAAAAAATTTGGAGATTTAGAAATATAAGAAACTGTGAGTTTTATATTATTTTTAAAGATGAACCATTTTATAAAAAAAAAAAAAACAATATTAAGTTTTTTATTTCTTTTTTCTAAATACAAGTTTAAAAATATTTTAATAGAAAGTTTACGTTTTTATAATTCATATGTTAGAACAAAAATTATGTGTACACTTTATTTTTTTTTTTCCTAAAATACTCATTTTAATTAAATATAAGGAAGTTATGAAAGAATATCATAATAATGAAGATAATATAGATAAGCATGGTGATGATGCATATAATTCCCATATTTATGAAATAGAAACTTATTCTATCATAATTGTTAAAAAAAATAGTGATGTATATATTTAAAAAGAAAAAAAAATTCATGAAATATATATTTATTAAAACACATTTTTTTATGAAGAATAAATTTTATTTAAATTATAATTATCATCAATTTATATGTAAGATACAGTTAAATGAAAATTCATTTCTTTACTCATAAGAGATTTTTAAAAAATATAATTTTTAATGTTTTTTTTTTACTGTATTATTAATATTACATATATATAGCGAAGATAGGAAAAAAATATATATATAAAAAAATTAATTTCTTTTTTTAAAGAAAAAAGAAAAATAATACTAATATATAAATAAATGATAATAATTAGGATAAAAATGTATTAAATAAAAAAAATTGAAAAATTAATAACTTATAAAAATATAGTATAAATATATATTTACAAAAAAGAAAATATAATTCATATAGAAATTGAATAGAGTACTAACTTTCCTCTACTATATGTAACATTTCTATATGAATAATTCTGTATATATTTATTTAATATAGAATAGATGGAACATATAACTAATGATTATGTTAATTTGAATATAATTAAAAGAAAATATTTCCTAAATAAAAAAAAATATTTATATATAGAGAATTAACAAGAAATATATAAAGAAAAAAATACGTTTCATTTATGAATTTTATAATCATATAAAAATATTTACAACATATATATATATATATATGTAAAACAACTTTAAAATATTATGTATAAAAATAAAATGAACTATTTTCAAGGAAATGTGTGTGTTATAAAAATTTAAAGATAGTGTATATAAAAAATACAAGATATATTTTATTTTTTTCCGTGCATTAATGAAGATTATTACATTAGAAGTACTATGCAACAAAACTTAAAATATAATACTTATAAAATAAAAAGGGTTAAAATTAAGAAAGGGAAACTTAAAAAAGAAAAAAAAATGTTATATAACTATACACAAAATATAGTTAATATGTGAGGTGAAAAGTAAAAAAAAAAAAAAAAAAAAAAAAAAAAAAGCTTAATAATTATTAATTTTTTATTGGATACAAGGTAAAACTCTTTTAAATATTAGAAAAAATATTTATTTTTAACTTTTAATTGGAAATTTTAGAGAATTTTAAAAAAAATTCAATTTTTAACACATTTATTTGAAGTTATATCATGATATAATATAAAATATGTTGAAATATTAAATATTTTTATAATATAAAAAATTGTCAGAAAAAAAGTATATTTTTTATATATTACAGAATATACTATTAATTTTTCGTTGAAAAAATATATAAGACAGTAAAGTATTATTTCACAAATATAAAAGAAAATATATATATATATATATATATATATATATATATATATATATATATATATATATATATTATAAAATTTATAATTCTATAATCACTGAAAGAACAATCTTAAGTAAATGTAAATGATCCTACTATTGACAATATCTGAAACTACTTAAAATAATATATAAATTTTCATTTTTAAAAAATTATTAAAAATAATTTTTAAATTTTATTAGAAAAAAAACAAATTAAAAAATATGTAGTATAAAAAAAAACGACATTTTAATTCATAGAAATCTTAATGCAATTAATAAATCTCATATAGAAATGAAAGTTAATGTTAAATCTTAGTTGTACACCTGACATTTTGTTAATATCTTATAAGAAAAAATTAATTAAAATAATTTTATTGAATTTATTTTACATAACTATTTACCATTCTACACTACAACTAATGAACATATTTGAAAAAAATAAAAAAAAAAATATGAAAAATATAATTTTAATGCCAACATATTAAAATTTTATAAATGGGGAAACGGGAAACAAAAAAAGTATAAAATGAAGCAGCGTAGATATTTTATTAATTTAATTAATATTTTTTACATTATTTAATTAAAATGAAAGAAGGAAATTTAAAAGCTTAATTAGAAGTATATATTTTTACTTTCGCTTAATATAAAGAATTATGAAAATGCAGGTGTTTTTTTGCTTTTTAAATTTTTAACATAAGTTTAAAATAATAATATTTTTACTTGCCAAATTAATTTTACATTAGAACAAAAATATATATCATTATAATTATGCATACCTAAAAATAACATAATGATTTAACTTCAATAAATAGTTTAAAAAAAAAGGGAATTTTAATAGCCTTTCCTACTTTATTTTTTTTTTTTTTCTTATGTTTCCTTACTTCCATGATAATAATAATTAGGTATAATAATATTTTTAGGAGAAAAATGTTTTTCTAATAAAAAAAAGGAGAACAAAATAAATATGAGCTTAAAAAAAAAATAATTGCCTAGATTTCTTACTTCAAGTAATTTATTCTGTTTCATGTAGAAAAAAGAACAAAATAGGATTTTTATTGAAAAATTAAAATTTATATTAAGTATAACTAAAATTTTTATTTGAAATATCATTTGTATTATTTTGTTTATATTAAAAAGTTACAATACACAATTTTTTTTTTTTTTTTTTTAATATAATAACATTCACAATATATATATATATATATATGTATGATAAAAAAGGAATGAAAAAAAAATGTTATCATTTTATTAAGAATGTATGAACTGAGAATGAACAATTTTTTTTTTTTTTAAAAATTTGGTACAGAGAAATCTGACTTTTTTTCATTAGCTTCACACCAAGCTTTGGCTATAGTTCTTTTCATTTCACTATCTCCTTCTTGATATAATTGTTTCATCATATTCATTAGCATAGCTGAAGGTTCAGTTTGTTCATCAATTTTAGGTGCTTTAATTTTAGACATAGGAGATTCTTTAAAATGAAGATTATCCCAATATTTATTATCTTGTTTGATTAAATTTACATGTACAGAATCCTTTTTAACTTTTATAGAACATTTTTTTGGTAATATTTTTTCATGCAATTTTTTAACACAAAAACGATAATTTTTTTTATCTACATCGTGCATCTTTATTTCAAAAGATCTCTCATCAAATTCTGTAACAATTTTTTCTTTTTCAATATTATGTACATTTTTAACAGTTAAAAAAATTGTAACTTTATTTCCTTCTTGATTCCAAGCAAAAGACTGAACAGAATTATAAGAAATGTTGCTGTCATCTAATGGCAAATTTACATCATTTATTTTATTTGGAGATTGGCTTCCTTCAGTTTTTAACTTTATTATTTCAGCATTAATATTTTCAATGCAATGGTTTATTTTTTTTTTTACATTTTCTCTTGTTGTTAGAGATAATAATTTATTTAATTCTGTTATATCATCATTTAAATCATCAATTCTTTTCGAATCCATGTTTTATTATGTATTTATTAATTTAAAAAGAAAAATAAGCTATTTATTTTATTTTATTTTTTTTTTTTTTTGTATATATTTCGTATTTCTTACAAAATTTAACTTGTATTTACTTTTAAAAGGAATTCTATAGAATAAATTATAAAGTTCCTATATTTTATTTTTCAAAAAGAAATATATTTAATAAAAAAAAAAAAATGAATATCCATTTAAAAAAAAAGAAAAAAAAAATATTTTTAATTTAAATTATTTTTTTATTTATTCATTTTTTATTACTATTTTTTTTTTTTTTTTTTTTTATCATTTACGTATATAAAATTGCTAAATTTTATCACATTTATATATATATATACCTTTCTATAACATTTTTATTAAAATAAAAGAAAATTTTTACTTTTTTATAATAAAATTTTTTTGTATAAAATATTAAAAATAATCCTTCATATTTTTAAGTTCATATATTAGAACACAAGCATATATATATATATATTGAAGAATAAAGAGATATAATTAAAATAAAGAAAAACAATTTATTTTAATTATATATGTAAAACATTATATTTTGAGTAATATTAAAAAAAATTAGAAAAAAAAAAAAATGAATCATTAAACTGTAGGAATATTTATATTTTTAATTATGTAGATAATTGTTCATTATCACAATATTATACTTAATTTAAATTTCAATATAAAATATACTTTATTTTTTAAAAAGTATAAAATAATTATGATTCTTTTACAATGCATTCTATTAGATAATGGGCTATTTACTCGAACTTGTTTTTTTTTTTTTTTTTTTTTTTAAACATAATTATATAAAATTATAAGTAAACTACTATTACACATATTTAAAGAATAATTTTATTTAAAGATAAGAAAAATAGAACAAATGAAATGTTTTATAAAAAATGAAGGAAATGTGTCTTCATTATTTTATTTGTTCAGAATTAATTTTTTTTTTAAGTTAACAATTTACAAAAAAAAAAAAAAAAAAAAAAC